TTTGCTGTCTTTACCTTCACGACCACGCCGGCATCACAGATGTTTGATTCATTATTGCTTCCCTGCATGGCCAACCAGGAGCTCTTAAAGATGCTTCTGTAAGTTACTGTTGTAGGGTTTTTGAACCAGAATACAGCAACAACCTCAATTTTTGTCTCACAGAATTTTCCTGTGGACATAGTTTAATATTAAAGCAAGACTTATTAGAAAAGCTGAGAAGAGAGACTCCTGTCCTAGTAACAGGAGAGGACCTCAAGAGAGAAAAGAACCCGGACCTGCTGCCCTAGCGGCGGGAGGAAGGGGGAAAGAGCCTAGGGCTTTGCCACAGTGGCAGAAGTGGAAAGCAAAAGGATCCCGAATTACTGGTGGGGGTAGTTGTCTTTTCAACGTTCACCTCAAAGATGTTTCTCCGTGAGCAGAGGAGAGTTCCTGGTTTCCATGGTACCTGGCCCCGGGACCGAAGGCCGCAAATTACAGGCCATCTTCCTCAGTCCCTTTTTGATGATGAAGAGGCCAGTCTGACATTGCCCCCTCAACAATGGCCGGAGATGGCATTGGGCTGGCGCTTCAGGTGGGAACTAACGTGTTAATACGCCCTTGCCTCTTGGGGAAGCATGTTCCTGATGTGTTAAAATATGCACCTGTCTCTCGGGAGAAACGTGCTCTGGTGAATGCAGGACATGGTGGGGAAAATACCCTTTTATATTTGAGGGAAAACGATGGCTTGGAATACCCTAACTGCCTACTGCCCAGTCTAACCCCTTTCGCAATACTGTGATCGGTGTCTCCAAAGCAAGCCATCATCCCTCATTCCGTAGGAGCCACTGGGCGACAGCCAGGACAAGGCCAGGGCACATGCGGGTACCTACTAACCAGCAATCCATTCCCACTGCATTTCTGTTTTTACAACTTACATATCCCTTAGTGGGAAAAGATGTTACAAAGGAAAAACTTAAAGATCTAAGACAAAAGTTTCAAACATTAAATCCCTCTACAACTGCAGCTCTACAACCCCACAGTCAAACAATAATTAAAAGCATATCTCTATGATATTAATAAAAGCACCCTGTAATTCCTCTAACCAAAAAATTATAAAAGCAGCTAAAGCAGATGCATTTTCTATGCTCCAAAAAGTTGCAAGGACAGGCTAGCCTTTAGGATCACTGCAACTGTATTTATCGCCACAGTAGTTTCAGCTCAGACTCCCCTCACTTCCATTATTTTTTAGGATTCTTACCAAGCTCTTTCCCAGAAGGCGTGCTACATGTCTGTGTCAGATTCCGGGGCAGTGGGTAGGCACACAATCAGGTGTCCAGCAATGGCATGGGCTTAATTGTGCTCCTGTGTGTAAATGGTTAAAGGCCCATTCACCAAGACATTATCAGCAACATTAATTGCCAAGCTTATGTTGGTTGCAAAAAACATCTCACTGAGCAAACAACAGTGCCTCAATGGATTACAGAATCCTCAGTGGGTGTCTGAGTGTCCGTGCAAAGCAGGTGAAACTACACTGAGGTGGTTGGAGAGACATCTGCCAGGCCTCGCCATGCAGCTGGGAGCTCCACGCGGCCTTGCCAACAGGGCAGCTGTCCTCTTCACACCTTTGTGTCTTCCACACCCGCTGCTCGGACCCCAGCACCCAGGCACTGTGACCATTCTACCCCCAATCTTCGTAAACTGGGGTTCAGGGTGTGCCTGACCTGGCCATCCTGGAGGTGGCCCCGGGGGTGTGGCCTGGAAGCAGGAAACCATGGCTGAGCAGCACAACAAAGCAGCCTCTTCTTTCCATCGGTTTGGTGCGTCGCTCTGCGGGATCAGGGGACAGAAGCGGTACTGCCGGAGTCCAGCTCCAGCCGAGTTCGGAGCGGGAAGGGTGCGTGGAGTCGGCGATAAAGAAAGACACAGACACAGACACTTGGTGCGTTCTCACTCCAGCTCAGGAAAAAACTGTCCTTTTTATTTACTCAAAAACTTTCTCAAGCTTCTACACAAGCAACTAATTGTTCTATTTTTTACTTTAAGACTGGGGGGGCATGTACAGACATTCGGTCATCCTGTCTGCACCTCAGGGCTAAGCAGGTGCCCCTAGAGATAATTCTGCAAAATACTGTATTCATATTCTTCAAAGCAAGCCTTTATTCTTTCTTCAACAATAGCCATGGAGCAACAGCCAGGACTCCAAGGCCAAGGCACATGAGGTTACCTACTAATCAGTAGTACATTCCTACCACATTTCTATTTCTACAATTTACCCATTATTTAATGGGAAAATAGGTTACAAGGGAAAAACCTAAAATCTAAAATAAAACTTCAAATGTTAAATCCCCCTTCAACTATAGACCCCTACAACCCCATAAACAATAAAGCAATAATCAAAAGCATTTTTCTTTAATAAAAGCATCCTTAATTCCTCTAGCTAAAAATTATAAAAGCGACTAAAACAATTACATTTTCTAGGCTCCAAAAAATTGCAAAGGCAGGCTAGCCTTTGAGACAATAACTATATTTATTGCCATAGCAGTTTCAGCTCTGACTCCAAACACTTGCATTAGTATTTAAGGCATATATATCAAGCCCCTTCCCAGCGGGTGTGCTGCGTGTCTGGGCCAGGTTCTGAGGCAATAGTTAGCACACAATAAGGTGTCCAAAAATGGCACAGGCTTAATTGTGCTCCTGTGTGTAAACTGTCAAAGGCTCACTCACCAAGACATTATCAGTGACATTAACTCTGAAGCTCACTTCAGTTGCAAAAACCTGCAAAAACTGTCTCACAGGGGCAAACAACAATGCCTCAATAGGATACAGAATTCTTAGTGGGGTGCTTGAGTGTCCATGCAGCCAGGGGGTGAAACAGCATCAAGGTGGTCGAGAGACTTCCGCCGGGCCTTGCCTAACAGCTGGGAGCTGTTCTCTTCACACCCTTGTGTCATCCACACCCACTGCATGGACCCCAGCACGGTACCAGAGGGTTAGCCCCTCCTTGGGGGGGGGCAGTGTTAGGGGCAGTGCCATGATACGCTACAGCCTAAGTCGGGGGTAGGGTCAGGTGAGGGCCATAAGTCTTTGCCTTTCGCTCGGAGAAGCAGGCATGCATGTGGTACACAAAGTGGCAAAGCTCGTCTAAACGGTGAGCAACCAGGGGCCAGCATTGTGGCACAGTAGATTGGACCTCCACCTGCAGTGTTGGCATCCCATATCTGCACCAGTTCAAGTCCTGGCTGCTCTCCTTCCCATCCAGCTGCTGGTTTATGGCCTGGGAACCACCCAAGTCCTTGGGCCCCTGCAGCCATGTGAGAAGTTCCTGAAGTTTCAGACCGGATCAACCCGGATCTGGGAGTCGAGGTCTTTTGGAACATGAACCAGCAGATGGAAGATAACTGTCTGTGTTTCTCCCGCTCTCTCTCTCTCTATAATCTGCCTTTTAAACAAAAATAAACAAATCTTGGGCCTGGCTCGGTGGCCTAGCGGAGAAAGAGAGGGAGAGGTCTTCCCTGAGACAGTCCAAGCCTGCTGAAACCTTGGCCACTCTTTCAAGTGGGTGGCTCAAGAATCACCCAGTCAGACTGTGCCAGGTTAGGGCTAGCATCCACTGGCCCGTGTGAGCTCTGGCTCTGGGAGTTGGCCTGGTTGGGGAACTTGGGAAACTGCCCCGTGGGCCTCAGCTCCTGCTGGGCGTGTGATTCAGGTCTGGTGTTGGTCAGGCCTGGCAGGCCAGCTCTACTCATCAGCAAGTGTGTGGGGGGTGGAGCGGGCAGGGTTGGACCAGGCCTTAGCACACTGGGGCCAGCTCCAGCTGAGCTTGGAGCTCCAGCAGGGTGTGTGGAGTCGGTGTAAAGAGAAAAGACTGCTAGGATTTAATGCTCACAATGGACAATGCAAGAAAGCTGTCCCCTTTATTTATACAGAAGCAGTCACAAAATCTTGCCCATCCGTGGTCAAGTGGGTGTTTCCAAGGATTCGAGCAGCCATTGGGCAGACGCAACCAGAGCTGTGAAGTCATCACTGACATGTGTTTTTAATTCCTTTTTTTGTTGTTTTTAATTATTTATCTAGCCAGCCTGCACCCAGCCCTGGCTCTCACGCTCACCAGTGGGAGTTGCAGCCCATCAGAGAGGTGCCCAACGTTTCCTTTGGGACCATATTTTAAAATAATTGGCTTGTAAAAAGAAGTCTGAAGGCTTAAGGCAGGTTTCTTCCCCCCCCCCCCCAAGCAGAGTTTTAACAAAGGCACAGAGACATCAGAGCTTTTCCTGACACAGCAACATTTTGCTTCCTTGGTCAGTCATCAACCCTGAGTGCGACAATTAATATGTGACAAGGTGCCACAGCTGCTAAAAATGTAAAGAAAATTTTGGATGCATGGGTTTGAAGTCCTGTCATAAAAGAGAACTGTGGAAATGCTGAAGGAAGAGGTTTCAGCTCAGCAGGTGTAACTTAGAAGATCAATAAAGCCACTCTGCATTAAGGTTAGCCCTCTCCTCCCCCACCAGGTCTTGGCTTTCCCACCTCACAGCTCCAAGTTTAGAACTTTCTTTGCATTTCTCTTGCTTGCCTACTAAGGTCTCAGTTTACCTTTTGACACCTCCAAATCAGGGCAAACAACATTTTGAATTGGAGAGCCTTTGCTTGGAAAGCAGCCCTGAAGTGTGACTACTGCAACAGCTTGCCAACACAGAGCTGCTGCCACAGCCGTGGGGGGCCGGCAGGTGCCAAGAGCCCTGAGGTGTGTGTGGCATCACTGCTCCAGTCCACCTTCACCCCACTTGTTCTGGGCAACCACACCCAGCTGACTTAGCAACCTATTGCTGCAAGACACTCTCCATCCAAGGAAATCCCGAGCTTGAATTCTTTGGGCCGAACCCGCAGGGCATAGCCGATGCGGCAACTCTGAGAATCGGCCAGCGGGCACAGTTGCATTGATCTGATTTTCAAGGCTTGGGCTAACAATTTTCCAGCCAGCAAAAAATTTCTTTATCTTTTAAAATCTTTTTTGTTTTCCTTCATAAATTGCTCAAGCTGAAACCGTGGAATAAGGAGGGATGGGTGCAGGGGCCACGGAGGCGTCTGAGGCACAGGCAGTGCTGAGGCCCAGTATTCCAACGGTTTCCGTTCATAGGTTTAAACGGGAATCCATTAAGTTTCTAGAATTCACCCTGGAGGCTGAGATGAGGGCTCTGCCCCGTGCTGGTTATTTGTGGCTAGCAGGACCTGTTAGAGAGCCAAGTGGGGAAACGGGTCTGGCATGTCACCCAGCCGCCATCGGCTCCTGAGTCCTCAGACACCTGCTCCGCAGCTGACTCCTGGGGCAGCTGCAAGGAGGGCCCTGAGGGTGACCGTGGGCTGGGGTGGGCCTGGGGGCCAGGACTTGCCATGAGAATGAGTTGTGAGGCCTCCCCTAACTCCTCCTGAGGTCCGAGACATTGCAAGCTTCAGTCTATAACCCAAGGGGTCACGGATGGGGCAGAGGAGATCCGGGCCGTATCCACTGGATCCGTGGGATACGTACCAGAGGGAGCTAGACTCGGCTCTGTTCTCTGAGGGCCCAGAGGGCCTAGAGGGAGGACGCTGCTCAGAGAACCACGGATACCCCAGGTCGGCCTATGGAGGTCTGGGCTGCTGGCTCTCCTTGGACCCTCCCCCAGACTATGGCTCTTACAGCTGCTTTCTGGTTAGCAGGGAAGAGTCGTGGGCAAAACCTCATCCTGTCAGTAGGCTCACAGCACACACCCCGTAAGACTTTCAGCCCAGAACGCTCTGAACCGCCACACCACCAGCCCCATCCCCAAACGCTTCCACCAGGAGTCAGAGGAGTGGAAAAGGCTCCTAAGCCGCTGCTGGCCAAGGGCATGGCAGGCACTAGGCCGTGTGAGAGCGATCCTGCCTGCCTGAGCTGGAGCTGGCACCTGAGTGTCAGCCTCTCCCTGCAGCTTCTTCCCGGGACCCTCAACCACACAGGGCAGCCAGGGCAGTGGGCAGGTGTCACGGGTTCCGGATGGCCTGGTGATTCTTGGGCACAGCCACAAACCTCAGCTTCTTCATGACCGGCGGCCAGCCCAGCAGCCGCTCGTCCCACAGGTACTCGGGCGACAGCACCTTGGTGGGCTTGTGGTAGAGCAGGTACTTGTTCAGGTGGCTCTCGTCATGCCACACGGCCTCGATGCCGTTGGCCTTGTCCAGCAGCATGGCCTGGTGGCAGGCGCTGGCCAGCTGCTGCACCTCGGCCACCGAGCCCCCAAAGAAACCCCCTAGATAATAAAAGTCACCCTCATCACGGGGGATGTAGGCCTGGGACTGCGGCCGCCGCTCGTAGCTGAAGGCCTCACGGTTTGTATTGTAGAAGCCGGGGTGCAGGGTGCCGAAGAGTGGGGTCAGGATCTCCACGCCCACGTGGTCCCGGAACTTCATGTCCACGTCGACGCACACCAGGTAGTCCACCTCGTGGCGGAAGCGCTGCTCCGAGAAGCGGGCGATGGCCTCCATGCGGTGCATGGACACGTCCTGCCAGCGTGCGTGGCTCGGCACCTCCAGCACCACCAGGCGCCGGCCCTCCCCGAGCGGCACATCAGGCACGTCGGCCGGCCGATCGGTGAGGACGTAGTAGATGACACGGTGGCCCGCCATGAAGTGCTGCTCTGCCGTCTCCAGGAACAGCTTCAGGAAGACCACGTATCTGCAAGGGGCGACGGCAAGACCGTAGCCTCAGTCAGCGCGCAGCCCACAGCCCAGGACAGCTTGTCCTGCAGGGGCACGGGGCCTCCAAGGGTTGCAGCCTTGGTCAGTGCCCACTTCAGAGAAGGTGGTCCTGCAGAGACATGAGGCCTCCAAGGGCTACAGCCTTGGTTAGCGCCCACCCAGTAGCTCAGGGCAGTTGGGCCAGTAGCAACATGAAGACTCCAGAGTTTGCAAGCTGCAGGCACCCAGACACTGATCAGCAGGGTTCTGGGTGCATCCGTGGCTATGTCTGCTTAACCCTATATCCCAGAGCAGGCCGGGCACTGAGCTGACGGCAGAGTAAGTGGATACCCTGCAGCCCAGGGGAGGGCAGGGCTGGGCCTCACACTCGGTCCACCTGAGCCCCCTGTTGGACCCTCTCTGCCAGCCGGGCAGGTGTCGATCCATCACCCATGGAGAGTAACCAACCAGGCCACCTCCTCTGCATTCCAACCTAGACTCGGAGGGCTCCAGGTGTCTGCCTGTCCCCTCCCCCTCCCCTTCCCCACAAACTCACTTCTTGACGGCAAACATGGTCAGCCCCACAGTCAGGTTCTGCTGCTGGAACTGTGCATTGAGGAGCTCGATGTTGAAGGTCCCTTCCCAGATGACGGGCGCCAGCCAGGGGGTGAGGACAAGGACATCACTCCTCCTGCAGGAGGACAGCCACACGGTGCCTGGGAGCCGGCAGGAGTCCACGGACAGCGCCCACCCCTAGGCCCCTCAGCCTCCGGCCCGACCTGCCCAGTGCCCCAAGGCTGCCCGTGCCAGGGCACTGGGCAGAAGGGCAGCCAGACAGGAGGAGCCCACAGACAGCGCCCACCCATCAGGCCCCTCAGCTTCCAGCCTGGCATGCCCCAGGGCTGCCCCTGCCAGGGCACTGGGCAGGAGGGCAGTACAGTGCAGGCCCAGCAGGACACCAGTCAATGACTCACAGCCAGCTTGGCCCCTTGACCCTGCTGCCCAACCAGGGATGGGAGGTCAGCCTGAGGCCTACACTTGGTCCCACCGCCTACCTGTGGACAGGAGACCCGTCCCCAAGACAAACACCCTGTCACAGCACTGCAAAGAAGGGGGGCATAGGGCAGTCATGGTACTCACATGGCAGTCAGCGCCTTCGGCTGTGGGTACAGCATCCTGCAAGACACCAACCACACGCGTGTGAGCAAGTGTGACGTGGGGTGTAGGCCGCATGTGTGTGGGCGCGGATGACTGACGTGAGGTATATAGGACGCATGCGTGTGTGGGGTTTGGCGGGTGACTTGGGGTGCAGGCCACCAGTGGCTCCCGGCAGTCCCACACTGGCTGCTCTGGCCCACATGGCCTTAATATGGCCGGACTCGGCATTTGTCAACAAGAGAGAGACCATGTGACCTCAGGAGGCAGGGAGGGGATGGGAACTTGGCCCTGGCAGAGGTGGACCTGCTCAGTCTCACGGGACCCGCTGTTGGGCAGGGCAGGTGGCTGAGTCACCCACAGCCCCAGGAAGTGGCCTGGCTCCTCAGTGTGGGAGTGGGAAAGCAGCACAGCACAGACACGAGACCAGGAGTGGACTCAGCCAAATCACACGTACTGGAAATAAGGTCTGAAGACGGCGGTCAGCTGCAGACAGCAGGGGCAGCAGGTGGCAGAGGGCAGGGAGGGAGTGTCACGTGTGCATGGAGTACCACGTGTGCATGGAGTACCACCTGGTGAGGTCCAGTATGGCTGAGTGCCATGCGAGGATGGAATGACCACATGCTGAGGTCCAGTATGGCTGAGTGCCACGTCTAGATGGAGTGCCACGTGTACGTTCTCTCACACCCACGGGGGCAGGAGGGAAAAGGGGTCTACAGGGTGGTGGGGCAGAGGTCAGGTGGGAGATGAGGCCGGGCAGGTCAACCGCTGGCAGGGACAGCGCTTCAGCACAGCAGGACAAGGACAGGTTGCACCTGCTTCCCACAGGGACACACAGATAAAACTGCAGCAGGTCCCACGGGGCCAGCACTGCCCACAGCCTCAGCCCTGACAAAGGCCCGGCCAGGCCCCACACCCTGAGCCGGGAGCCACCTGCCACAGGGCACGCCTGGCACTGCCATCTCAGCCTCCCTGAGGTGTGGGATGAGGCCAAGGTCAGAGCCAGAACCCGGGACCCTTGGGGGCAGGAGAAGGGTCTGCTCGGGTCACACGTACTCCAGGACTGAGGGCAGGTCCATGAGGGCGACTGAAAAAGGCCACCATACCTGGACAAGGCCACCACGGGTTGGCTGCAAGGGTGCCCAAGAGCCACACTGCAAGGAGAGAGCACAGAGGAGGGGGCTTTGTCAGGGCTGCAGGGAGAGAGAAGTGAGGAGAGGGCTGGCTTCAAGAGCAGCAGGCAGGACCACGTGTTGGGGTCAGCAGAGGCTGCGGGAGCCAGGGGTCTGAGACCATCAGACCTGTGGGTATAATGGTGAGGGTGGCCTGGTGCCTGCTGGGCCCTGGAAGAGCCTGTTCCATCCCAGTCTAGGGTCTTCCTGGGTACTAAGCTGCCCTGTGACTCTACCCCACGCCCCTCCTCCTTCCCAGCTCCTGCAGAAGCTTCTAGAATGATTCCACAGGTGGGGGTTCAGAACCTGCCCCTCCCACTAGGGGGTCTAGTGCTGACAGCTTCCACAGACACAGCCTCTACCTGACCCTCGGGGTCTCCTGTCTGGGACCACCCAGTCAGGCTGAGGAAAGGAGGCCCAGGCCACATGGGGAGGCCCGGTTGGAGTCAGCAACGTCTTGACGGTCCCAGCCATCCCTAAGAGCACTTGGGGAGCTCAGGAACCCCAAGAAGATGGGTTGCAGAGACACCCTAGCCACAAGAGGCCAGGGCAAGAGGCCCAGCAGGCCAGTCCCCCCACCAAGGGAGGGTGCCATACACACTGGCTTCCATGAGGCAGAGGGGACCTGGCTGGGGAGGGTGAGCAGCTGGCGCTGAGGTGAGGGGACCCAGCTGAGAGGCAGGATGAGGCATGGCTGAGGGGCCGGGGACAGGTGGGCAAAGGTGAGCCTGAAGGAAGGCTCAGGGCCGGCTGTAGGCCCCTGTGGGCAGCTGGACGGTCACACGGAGCAGGCCGCCCCAGGGACTCCAGGGAGCCTGAGGCCAGACCAGGGAGGGGTGGCTGCTCTGGGCAGAACACGAGGGTCAGGGGAGGGAGGGCTGGGGAGGGAGGGCAGGAGAGTGGGCCCTCAGGGGCCAGGGCACACAGCCCTGACCTGCAGCCACGCTCACCAAGGCTCGGCTCCCACATCCGCTGGTAGCTGGCTTCTGTAACTTAGGAACCCGTAGCTGTGGAAAGGAGGCACCAGGTGGGGTTCAGAACCCAGAGCCCAGCCCCCTCACCCTGTCCCCTCACCCTACACAGAGCCCAGCCCCCTCACCCTTCCCTACACAGAGCACAGACCCTCAGGGGGGCTCTCAGGTCCCACAAGGCCCCAGGCAGGAAGCTGAGCAGGGGGCAGGAACCTGGGGACAGCAGCAGCCAGGGGGCCCCCTGAGGGGTTGGTGGCCAGAAGTCACCCCAGGGGTGACTTCCTGTCTGCACACACACACCCCAGGAGCCCCAGGTGGGTCCTCACTCTGGGGTCCTAGAAGCTTCTGTCTGGAAGCTGCTCACAGACTGACCCCAATTCCCCTGTGTGCATGGGAGGGGGTGAGTGTACCCCAGGGGAGGTCAAACAGGGAGCAAGGGAAGGGCGAGGTGGACTTGGGTGACAGCTGTCCCGGGCCTGCGGGGCTGGGGCAGCTCAGGGGGTGCCCTGCCACTGTGTCTAAGGCCGCCCAGCTGGGGCCCACACGTTTCTTACCCAAACAGGACCAGGAGCAGAATCAGCACAAAGATGCCAGGCTGCAGCAGTGGGCCACACTTTGGTCTTCCTGGAAAAGAGCAGTGGGAGTTCCAGGGACGCCCCCTCCCCTCCCTGCTCCCCTGCACCTGACCTTCCTGTCACTGTCCACGGCCCCTCCCCCAGCTCCACCCCAGCCCCCTCCTCTCCTCGCAACACGCTGTGCCAATGAGGAGCCGTCTGCCCCCGTAGTTCACTGCTGCACCCTGGGTCGGGGGCTCATCCCTGGGCCCTGCCCTGAGCACCCTGTCCCACCCTCCTCTCAGGTGACTGTGGAGTTCAGAAGTCACTGCTCATGGGGTCAAGAGCCACCCACTCCGGGTCCCAGCCCTGTTCCTGACCGCCAGTCCCTTTCAGCTGACTGGGCGGTTCCTTCCACCTGCAGCTCCTGCTCTGTCCATCTCCCCTCTCTAAGTCCACGGAGCGGAACTGTGATGACGGGGGCCTGAGAGGGGAGGGGAACGCGCCCTATCTGCACACGCATGCTCCATCTGCGTGGTCGGATGTGGGGCCGTCCTGTTGTAATCAGCTTTGAAGAAGCAGTTCCTTTTCTTGTATTTTCACGGTCAACTGCCTGTGAACATGTCCAGCAAGGCATGACGGGATGGCCAAGTACTCATGCCGCTCTGCCCGTGAGGGAGACCTGGTGGATGCCCAGGCCCTGCCTTGGGGCTGTGTGGGGCAGGGATCAGAGAATCAGGATGGAAGATCTCCCTCTCTCTCTCTCTCTCTCTCTCTCTCACTCTCACTCTCGCTCTGTCTTGCAAGTAAATAAATCTCCAAAAATAGAAAATTAAAAACTTGAATAAAGATTTTTCTATTTTTCCTAATTTAAAAGAAATGGTGGGCCCAACGCGATAGCAGAACAGATAAAGTTCTCACGTTAAACCTGCCGCAGTGGCCTTGCCCTTGCACATACCAGAATCCCATATGGGCACCAGTTCTAATCCCGACAACCCTGCTTCCCACCCAGCTCCCTGCTTGTGGCCTGCGAAAACAATTGCCGATGACCCAGAGCTTCAGGACCCTGCACCCCACTGAGAGACCTGGAAGAGGCTCCTGGCTCCTGGATTCAGATCAGCCCAGCTGTGGCCATTGTAGCCAAATATTTTTTTAAAAGCAAAAATAATTTGTTTTTATTGGAAAGGCATATATACAGAGAGGAAGATCTTCCATCTGATGATTCACTCCCCAAGTGACCGCAACAGCTGGTGCTGTGCCACTCCAAAGTCAGGAGCCACTTCCAGGACTCCCACACGGGTGCTGGGTCCCAAGGCTTTGGGCCATCCTTGACTGCTTTCCCAGGCTAAAGCAGGGAGCTAGATGGGAAGCAGGGGTTAGAACTGGCACCGATATGGGATCCCGGAGTGTGCAAAACGAGGTCTTGAACCACTATGCTTTAATGTGGAATCCAAAAATACATAAATCTTTAAAGAAGAAGAAAATTCTCCCTCCAGTCCCACCACCAAGGGCACCATCGTCAGATTCCAGCATAATCTATGCACAAAATATAAATTCCTTTGGATTTAAAAAGAATTGACTAACAGACTAGAAAACACCTGGTTAATACAAAGGAGACAGGCAAGGATAAACAGAACACAGACATGTTGTCAAAAGAGCCATGGCGTGTGACCAGCCCAGGGACACTGCGCAGGATCCCACACTCCGACCAGAGAGCCATGGCGTGTGACCAGCCCAGGGACACTGCGGGATTCCACACTCCGACCAGAGAGCCATGGCGTGTGACCAGCCCAGGGACACTGCGGGATTCCACACTCCGACCAGAGAGCCATGGCGTGTGACCAGCCCAGGGACACTGCGGGATTCCACACTCCGACCAGAGAGCCATGGCGTGTGACCAGCCCAGGGACACTGCGGGATTCCACACTCCGACCAGAGAGCCATGGCGTGTGACCAGCCCAGGGACACTGTGCAGGATTCAACATTCCAGCCAGAGAGCCATGGCGTGTGACCAGCCCAGGGACACTGCGGGATTCAACTTCCAGCCAGAGAGCCATGGCGTGTGACCAGCCCAGGGACACTGTGGGATTCCACACTCCGACCAGAGAGCCATGGCGTGTGACCAGCCCAGGGACACTGCGGGATTCAACATTCCAGCCAGAGAGCCATGGCGTGTGACCAGCCCAGGGACACTGCGCGGGATTCAACATTCCAGCCAGAGAGCCATGGCGTGTGACCAGCCCAGGGACACTGCGGGATTCAACTTCCAGCCAGAGAGCCATGGCGTGTGACCAGCCCAGGGACACTGTGGGATTCCACACTCCGACCAGAGAGCCATGGCCGCCAGGACCTGCTGGACCATGCAGGACCACCAGGGACACTGCGGGATTCAACATTCCAGCCAGAGAGCCATGGCGTGTGACCAGCCCAGGGACACTGCGCAGGATTCAACTTCCAGCCAGAAGGGACAGATTGTGACACTAGATTTTCTCTTTTGCCTTTTCCTTTACCTATTTCTTTATTTCTTTGAAAGTCAGAATTGTACAGAGAGGAGACACAGAGAGAGATCTTCGACCTCCTCTTTGCAGACGGCTGCGATGGCCAGGGCTGGACCAGACCAAAGCCAGCAGCTTCATCCAGGTCTCCCACGTGGCTGCAGGGGCCCAAGCACTTGGACCATTGTCCGCTGCTTTCCTGGGCCAGAGCAGGAAGCAGAGCAGCCAGGGCTCCAACTGGCACCCAACAAGAACACAGCTGAGCCTGCGGCACCGCAGTGCCAGCCCCAGTTTAACACTTTGAAAAAGCAAACAATGCAGCAGGCGGTGGCCTTAGCTCTTCAGCCACAGGTCTGGGCACCCCCATTCCTGGGGAGTACCTGGTATGAGTCTCAGCTAAGGCTCCCAGTTCCGGCCCCCTGCCCATGCAAACCCCGAGAGGCAGTGAGGTTGTCCCGTAGGACTTCAGGAACGCACGTGGGAGACCGGGTTGGGTCCCCAGCCCATGGCTTCAGCCGGGCCCAGGGCACCTGGAGAGCGACCCTCGAGCAGAGCTCTCCCTGTCTGTTGCTCGGTGATTCTCTTTGTCTTTCAAATTGGAAAAATCATAAATAAAAAACACTGAGCTACATGAAGACAAATAAACAGGCCTTTGTAAAGATGGAGCATTTCCAAACGGGTTAAATACAGACAAAGCAGAAGGGAGCGAGCCGGGGGTCGCTGTGCTGCCACACTAAGTCCCATCCCTCACTCGGGAGTGGCTGCTGGGCCGAGGTGGCCGTCGGGCCCCTGGGCGGTCAGGGCAGGGACAACGAGCCTGCTGAGCCGGAGCTTCCACGCACTGGGGCAGAGGCCGCTCCTAACGCACCTGCCGGGATCGTAGGTGGGGTCTGGTTAACCTGTGAATTTAATTCCTGGAAAGGTTTCCAGTACATGGGTACTTGACCCAACCGTGGCCTTTCGAGGTGGGGCTCCGGGAGAAAGCCGGAACAGCATGCGGTGACCAGAGAGGAGCCCCCGTGACTCAGCGCTGCTGGCTTGCCAGGGCCTGGCCTCCCTGTGGCTCCTCAGCTGGCCATAGTCCTCCTGAGCCCAGAGCTTTCTCACAGCCCTGCCCGGGGCCGCAGGGGGCACAGCGTGGCAGGTGGGCAGGGAAGTGAGCGGCTCTGGGAGCAGGTGCCCGGAAGGCTGTGCGTGCGTCCCCTGCCAGCTCCCTTCCACTTTTAACTTCCCTTTCCACAAAGCTGAACAAATCATCTCCAGGTGGGGTAAGCTGTGGCTCGTGGTGTAGTCCACCTTGTGCAAGCGCCCCGGTTGCAATCCTGGCAGCTCTGCCTCCCCTGCAGCTCTGCTCATGCGCCTGGCATGGCAGCCAGGGGGCACCAAGCAATGGGTCCCACACTCGGGGAGACCTGGATGGAGTTCCGGGTTCCTGGCCTCGGGGAGGGCAGCGACCGGAAGATGGACAGTTCCCTCTCTCCTCCCTCTCCCTCCCTCCCTGTTGAACTGCTTGCCAAAGAAATGAGTAAATCTTTTCAAACCCGCACTCACACCCTCCATCCTCATTCCACACTGTCCCCTCTCCCCTCCCTGCTGGCCATTTGCCTGCATACACATGGACACAGCCCGGGTGTGCGCGCGCGCGCACACACAGACACACACACACTCCACAGAAACCCAAGGCTCTGGCATCTTGGCACCGTGCTCAGGCTCATCCTGCCCCACCCGTCCTCATGTCGCTTGACCCACCAGCCACAGCCAACACAGTTGAACCCTCCCTGGAAACACCTGCTCACCTGAGTTTCCAGAACTCTCTAACACCCTGGCCAGCCCACTCCTCTTTTTGGCTCTTTCTGCTTCCCCCTTGGGACGAGTGCTGTGGGCTCAGGCTCGGCCCCAGGCTGGTGTCCCTGCCTCTCCCTGGGGCAGCTGACGGAGTCTCCCCGCTGCTGACCCCAGCAGTGTCCAGCTTGACCCTCCCTAGGCACCCTGAACCACTCACGGCATCGACCAGAGGCGCACCACCCTCACATAGTCCACCGGCCCCACCCTGAGAGCTGGGGACCCCCGGCAGCT